TTAGCGGACACCATTATTTTCAAACAAATAGCACATATTAATAAGAATTGATTTTATAATATATAAGTATAATTTAAATTACTGTGTTAAAAACTGTATATTGACTATTGTTCAAAAGTTGTCTTCTTGTACGAGTATACTGGAATCGGAAAGGTTAAAAAAAAAACCCCCCCTTTGTGTTAATCGTTTTTTGTAGTGTTAGAATATTGTAGTTACAAGTTAGAGACGTTAAAGAGGAGAAATTTTGAACCTCTCTGCCATTTTTGCTTGTTTTCAAATATTTTATCGGTAAATTTTTCAGGGCTTTTTTTGACGTTTTTAAATGTCGTCGATTTTAAATGCGTACGAATCCGTTCCCTTATTATAATAATATTATTTTATACAGTATTCGAACAGAGTAGTCGAATTGCCTACTTGAGCCGCCGTCGCAGACTCCGTTATTACTTTATTAATATTGCCTGTTTAAAAAAGAACCCATAAAAATATGATTTGCTACATGTGAGGTGCCTTCGATTACAATGGGCTATTGAATATTTAAAGATTTGACTGTAATACGCCGACTGACTTTGTTTGTGTCTACAGGTTTGTCGCCTACAAGTATTATTTCTAAAAACATATTTTTGATGGGTACCAATTTTTTTTTCAACTTACAGGACAACTTGTTTGTATTGAAATAGTAAATTGAGAAATCATCAAGTTTTTTTTTCAAAAATATCACCACCCCTGAAATATTACACTTTCGACATTGCAGCTAGAGATAAAACCGAAATTGGACAAAAACAAATCATAATAACGAATAAAAAAAAAACACGAATACCTAACTGATTGTTTAGCGAATAAAGAACAATAATTTGTTCTAAATAATTTTAGAATATTTATAAAAAAGATACATATACATATTCTGAATAGTTAAATTGGCAAACAAACATGTAATTCTGAATAAATCAATCCAATAAATTGTGAATAATATTTAATTTGTATAGGTGTAGTTCAGTACCTATAATATAGGCTAATAATGTGTGGCTATATCAAGTTATATCAGTCTTTATTTATAATAATTTAGGTACAACAATTTATACGATTTATTATTATTATTGTTTACAACAATTTTTTTTTTTTATAAGAGTTTTATAATATCTAATTTTGTCGAAAATGTTAAATATTAAAACATGTTGAATTAATGTTAAAGCAAACACGTGTCACCGAACTCCGCTCCGAATCGTTTTTTATTAGCAATGGTTTATCGTTGCTTACAGGGATAAATCAAAGAACTTTATATGTATCCTACTTTCCCAACTTCCCGTCTACAATCCGTGCCACATCCGTCCCCAGTATCGGCTTTTTTTTTTTTTAATCTCACGGTATTGTATATTTGAAGTTCGGACGCGATGTTATTAGAAAACTATTTCACAAGTATTTACATCGTCGTGCCGCTCACGTTTTGAAACACGTGAACGCTTCGCGATAGCATAATAAATAATAATATTTATATCGGACGTAAGCATTTCATCGCCGCCGCCGCTGAAATGATTCATGAAAAACGCTTGTAATAATAATTTATCACTGTGTTTACGCAATACTATTATAACGGGGAACTTTCGGGAATCTACGTGATAGTTCGCGAAAATCGCACGTGATTAGTATTGCGCGACAATCGATTTTCGACGTGACCCGTTAACGATATCGCGGAACATTTAACCGCAGTTATTCTTAGACCCGTGTACATATTATGATAATACGAAACGGATATGTTTGTCTGGTATTGAAAAATGATTTGACGTGCAGCTTCAATAATAACCAGCTGTTTCCCGGGCTTAATCCTCCCGAAAACCCGAACCAATAGTGAAAAATATCAATTCGACGTGTCCCACCGTTTTTTCCCCGAGACACCCAACAATATAAGAAAATATTAGTTTTTCAATCAAAATTCACTTGTATGGAAATAATCGAATTATACCTCTAGCGCGAAAAATATGAAAAGTATAAAGACGGTAAAAACCCAAGCAAATTAAATTTATTTTTAAGTAAAGTTTTTTTATATATATTCAAAATATTGACTGGGTTCTTGTTATTTTTGGAATTAAAAAAAAAAAAAAAAAAACAGTTTATTTGTCTATAGGAACCTAACCTGACATATAGTAAAACATTCGTTTTCACGGGTATGCCCAGCCATTTATTTTGCTCATTAAGAAAAAGACTAAACTAAGAGGGTAAAAATGGAAAAAGTAATTTCTTAACGTCTATATACTCCTTATATATCTATAGAGCGCGTCACCGAGCGAAATATAAAATAATATTAAAAATATCTCACGTCACAAAACTGTCCACGGACGAAGCCGGGTCGTCAATCTGTTTCTAAAGGCAAGACCGTTGTAACCAAACTGTTCTATATCACGCGCCGAATTCTGCAGGTGTTGGTATGAAGTTGAGGCAATTCGCTGTTTTATATCGTTGAAGTATGATTTCCCGGGTCTTTCTCTTGGACGTTTTCCCATAATCTTCCCTTTCGAGATATTTCAATGTTTGCGACACGTTTCTTATCGGACGTACGACGAACTTCACCTCCCTTCTCATAAACTTATAGTGATGATGTTTCTTTTTCACCCATTTCCTGCAAAACGGTGTTGTTTCTTTTCCTCCCGGTCCAGCTCGTCCCCGTTGTTCTTTTTCAAATCCACATCGCCAACCATCGCTTCCAACCTTTCATTTCATACTTATTTATGGTCCACGTTTCAGTTTCATAAATTAAAATACTCCAGTTATACGATTTTATGAAGCCGAGTATAATATAAATATATATACGAGGGCTAATCAAAAAGTATCGAGACTGATAATATTACTCGGAAACCGAGCGTTGAAGAGCAAAACGATTTGTAAACCTAGCTTCTATGACTTATACTGAGCACATCTATTCGTATAAAATCTCTATAAACTTCTCCGTTTTGATTTGACGATATTTTTCTAAAATTTGTTTTTCACGTTTGGCGATTTCGTAATGAATCCAAAAGAAGCGGAACTCGCTGGCACTCGAGGGCACATTTTCAGTTTTTCAATTGATATTTAATGGCAAAAACCATGAAATGTTGCATCCCTCCGAAACTGGAAAAAAATGCAGACAAATTTTCTAAAATCTCCAAATCTGTCAAGTTACTCTTCTTTTGGGTTTATTACAAAACCGCCAAACTCGAAAAATATATTTTACAAAAATATCAGTGAAATCAAACCGAAGAATTTTATGAGAAGCAATAAAAACAAATGTACTCAGAAAAAGTCATAGAAGCAAGTGATACCAATCCTACTGCTCTTCGATGCTCCTTTTCCGAATGATATTACCAGTCTTGATACTTTTTGATTAGCCCACGTATATGTTATCGAAAATGTTGACGATGAGGAAACGATGACAATTCTTAATACATTTAGGAAATTATATCACTGCCTAGAAAAATATTATCATTTCCATCATAGGAGGCAATGATATATATTTACAGTAAAATTGCATATTACTTTTATATTTATACTTTTTTTATTTTTATTATTAAACTATTATTAATTTTTACTACTTTTATCCACTTTATTTTTGTAAATTCTAGATACTGATCTGCATGCTAACCGGTTTGTCTAGACTTTTGATAAAACAGGATTAATGCTACATGCGATAACGATATTAAGAGTAAGATCAGTACTGATTACATAACGCTGAAGTTTACACGTGTTCGGAATACAAATTATACATAGATAACATTGCCTAATAAACTAATGCAATGTCGTCAAAAGTCAACTAAAATATTATTTCCGAAGGTATTTAAGTATTGTCATCATTTCCCGAAATGTCTATATTTCCGGTAACATGTATGTATATATTATTATAAATATTTAACAAACGTGAGGTAATGGGATGAGGTATATCCTCCTCATCCTCCTCCTCCCCACCCTTGGTTTTACTGCTCCCGAAATTATGAGTTTACCAAGTATACAGATACTTATAGGTATCCATCACGGTTATGTACTGGATAACCGTAGATAGTCGTCCGTGGTATCTACTAATTTGCTTTCCTTATTATTTGACTTAATGCCATTTTTCCCAACGAAAAAAAAAATACAGTGGGGAGGGAGGTATTTCGGGATGGTAGTGGTGATAAGGTGACTGCTAATAAATATAATATATTATTCATAAAAGTTCGCTACGTCACTGTAATATCACATAACGTAGTGAACCTAATTAGTGGACCGGATTTTTTTTTTTCTTTGCTCAATAGGTCGGTATCATTTTGTATTTTTAGCCATTACAATGTAAACAATTTTAATAAATACAATATTTCACGGATAATGTAGTTGTGCATGATACCGCAGACGAGCTCATGAACTTTCGACTGAAAACTGCGGACCTCGAAATAATGAGCCAAGGATCGGGCGAACTATAGCAGTAATTTTTCGAGCACTATTTCGGTATCGATTTTGATATTTCAATAAACTATGTGCATAAGTATACGTATTCATGCGTATACAGGGTGTCCAACGAAGATATGATGATTGCGATATTTTACAGGAAAGTATTAACTTGTTTCGGGGTGTTTTTTTTTTTTTAACATTTTTAGAATCGAGTTACTTGTTTATTTGTTACTTGTAGCTCCCTCAGATTGATGGAAATCAAAAATGTCAACACCATTTAGACAAATACTCCGTCAGTTTATGGCATTTTTGATTTATAATATCCCGTTTGAGAGTAATTTGTTAAAACCATATCTTTCAGAATTTATTGCTGACACAAATCAAATTTTACATTTTGAGTAGCTATCTTCACACACGAAATGCAAAATTTTATTAGGACTTTCGGTTTCCTACTATATCTAGAACATTTTTCCCTAGGAAATTCGATTATTTATTCTAATATTACGTTATTTCTGTAAACTTTCCCGGTTTCTCTACGTTTCACCCCGTTTTTTCCAGTTATCACAGTTATCCAGAAAACTATAGAATACCGATAATAATTATTAACGAAATTTATATTGATTTTTTTTTAAAAATAATATATTGTATTTACAATGACGAATATATAATAAATAATAAAACATCATAAAAGAACATCGATTACATAACAATTATGATAAAATAAATAAATAACAAATTTGTGGTTTTTTTTTTTTTTTTACAATAACATTAATAGTACGATACAATCGGACGGATAGTTTTCTTCTGTACACTTGCTCTCCTCCCTCGGCGTCAAAAACGTCCGACAAAAAATTACAAACGAATACAATAAATACAACACAAACAAATATACACGTGAGTTCGACGTTATAATATTATACACGTGGGGTCGTACAGTAAATAATAATTCCTTTCGACGGGATCCACCGACAACGGGTAAACGGAACAAGACTAGATTCTTTTTTGGACGGGTGATGGGGGGGGGGAAACAAAAATGGAGTTGATTGCGAAAAAAAATGAATAAATAACGGTTATAGACTAAATAATATGTATATATGTACACGTAACGGCAATAGTATAATGATTACATTACAGTAATATCATTTTTACGTGGGATGTGAGAGGTGCAGTGCAACGTTATAGAGTTTCGACTGTTGTACTTAGCAATTACTAAAGTGTATTATAATAATCGTGTTAATAAAAAAAAACCCTGAGCGAAACGAAACGGTAAAAATCAAAATTTCTCCTCTTGACCGTATTCAAAAGGTTAGGCGACGCCCGGCCGAAACCGCTATGGAAATCGGGTACGCGTCACGCTATGCCTCACGCACGATCGAACGTGTACACCGCCAGAACGCGAACCGGACGTTTGTGTGTTCTGTCGCGAAACACGCGGCCCGTGGCGGAAAACGCGCCGGAATCCGGCGAATCGGAGTGTACAACGCAGAGAAACGCAAAGTGAAACGCGAAAACTTCGAATACCCGCACGGCTGTCCGGCCAGCGCGATGCTTGCGTGTCGATATACGGTAGCCAGTCGGGTCGAAGTGCGAAACAAATACGATAGAATGTTACATTGGTTCACGATAAAACCGAGGGAAAAACACCTCTGGACAAAAAAAAAAAATCACGAGTCCTAATTACAATAATAAACGAATAAACAAATAAACAAATAAATAAATAAATAAATAAATAAATAAATATAATATACTATATGAATGTACATAAAATTGTAAATATTACAATTTGATCATGGCCATCTCAAAAATGTGGGTATTTTTTTGTTTTCTATTTTAGTTTCGGAGAAGGGTGGACCGGGGACGTTACGTATTAAACATAGTGAGATAGTGAGTAAGCGCGCGAATAAATAATTAACAAAAAAAAAAACAACATTAACATTAAAGTAAGTACGAGTGAGTGCGGCGTACAAGTATAGGCGAGTAAACAATTATATAATAATATGGTAATAAAAATAATAAAAATTGTTTTTACAAAAAAAAAAAAAATCCGACGTTCTCGCGACAACTGCGAGAATATTATGTACATGATGTCGTAATATAGTAATAATATAGTGGATAGATCAGTCTTATGAGATGGCCATATTTTAGTCTTTAAATTTACGCGTTATCACTTTGAATTCAAAAAAAAAAAAAAAAACTAACAAACAAAACGTAATATTTTCGAAATATTAAGTAAAATTCGTAAAACGTAAAAAATAAATAAATAAATAATCGACGAGTAGGTAAGTGTAAAAAAAATAATATTAATATAACATTATTCTAGTATATTATTACCTACCTATATCAAAATTTGTATTATTTTATACAAGACATTCGACACGACAAAACAATTAATAATATTATAATATATATATATATAAGTACAAAAATAATCTCAAACCGGTTGATAATATAAATTATAATATCGGGTTGTATTTTTTTTTTTTTTTTTACTAAATAAAAAAAACAAATTGTGTCAGTTCGATTAGAGATAATATTATAATTACCGATTCTTTTTTTTCTTCAAAAAACAAAAAAAAAAAAAAAAAAACGAATTGCATTAAAAACAAAAAAAAAAGTATACGTATACAATTAATATTCGT